TTTTTTGAGTTCTTGGACTCACTGGCCGGAAGGTCCAAGTTCGAACCCAACCTCGGCATCTCAACTGCTCTGTTTAGGCTTAGGCAACCCGGTAGTATCATAGCTCTCGTGTTTCGTTCGCTCGATGTGATAGCTAGGTAGCAAAAACGTTATAGCCGAACGAATGACCTTGAAATGGTCAAGGTGCACCCGACAATGTGACACTGGTAGGAAAGTGATATAAAACAATCGGCATTTAACTCTTACGTTGCTGTCAACGTCCCTGGACTTTCTGGTCCTACAATTGGCTGCTGCCTGTTATGCTTTGGGGTGAAAGATGTGTTGGTTAGCGGGACTTTTCGTCAATGAGTGCAGCTTCAACACGTCATTCCTGATATAGGAGAGCCCATGTGCTTCGCATAGCCAAAAGCTGTAGAAAGTACCTTATGGTGGTCTTGCGAAGTCACTCAGCGAAAATTGTTCATTGGGTTCTGTTCGTCCCGATCTACTCAGCCACTATCGAGCGGAACACTTATCTGCGTGTGTGAGGTGTGAAACTATTGGCCCATTGTTAGTGTTCACAGATTTCTCCACATCCCAACAGGTCCACAAATGTTTCCGCACAATGGTCCCCTGGTCCTGACCAGTGACGTGCATCATTTTTGAGTTTGAAAACTGGTGTGCACCATCTTTCTGTTATTCTGATGGTCGGTTGGACAAAAACACACCTAAAACAATGGATCGTTTACTAACGTGATACACCGAAAATGCTAGTCTTTTGCTATGTTATGAAACGAAAATCGCAGTGTATATCATCGCTATAACGTCGTGGGACCTTAATTAGTGTGACCACACAGAAATTGACGAAACTCCGCACACCGTGTCACACGTCCGATACTTGTACACTCCTCTGGATGGCATTTGCTTATCAGCCTCTGCTCATTCATGGTTGAAGTACACCCAAATGGCCCCCAGCGGATATCCGTATGACCCGAAGCTACTCTTGTGGAGCTCACAAAACAATATCCTCTGTCAGACATGTTTTGATGTGTGATACCTCTGAAGAGACAACACCCACCTCTGAAGAGACACCCCCCCCCCCACCTCCGTTCCACCTGTTGGGTTTGTCTTGAGAGAGATTTCTTTACACAAAAAATAGTTAATTTGATGAGTGGGTTTGGCTTATAGATGTCAGTTTGTGCATGTAAAAAGTTTCAGGAAAAGCTTGAGGTCCAAAATTAAGAAATGTGAATTGCTTTAAAAGTTTGAGCGAAGGTCCTTGACTTCGCCGAAAACTTCTCCAGCTGAATGCGGTAGTAGAAGTGTAGTGGACAGTTCAGTATAGCGTTCACATAGTCTTTGATACGCCTTTTGAAAATGTTACGCAAGCACCCCGAACTTGCTAAGCCCTTCAGTACTGTTCATAAATTTGGTGAAATATCTGGACAGCTCGGTTTTCGTTGGTTTGGTTTTGTTTACATCTTGGCGAGACATTAAAACCACTATCAAGCTCTGTGTGAAAAACTTTCGCATGACATTCTCATCCTTTGCATCCTGGTCATCTCCCATCACTCTAGGTTACACATAACTAGGGACCAAACTGATTCTCTTTTGGGTAGTTCTACCCTGTCTTTATCAAGTGGGGAAAGATATTCTAAGATATTCTCTAAACCCGTTAATATTGGCGCGTGCTCAATCCGCAGTGGACGCACGCCATCTCGTTTATTTACTAAGCACAAAAAGCAAACCGTAGGTGATTTTTATGTTTGGTAATTGTTCACACTTAGCGTGGATATTTCATCTAGCTCACCCCCGGAAAAAACCGACGGCCTTGAATTGTTCAATCAAGCCATCTCTCAAGATGGACGGTTATCATTTTTTCTGTGGAAAACAGTTTCCCGCTCAAGGGTGTATGTAAAAGTCCGGGTAAAATATTTGTTTGGAAACCCCCCTCCCGCTAGGATCAATAGAGCAGCCATTCTGTTTTATATCTGTCCTGTTATCTATGTCATGTTCATGAGATTTTATTCTCATGTATTGTAGCGTGACCGGGAATTGTTCAGCAATGTGCACCGACCGTACTGTAAAACAGCTGTGGCGGATTCTCGGAAAGTTTCACCAAGGTCAACCGTATCCTTCCGGCCCGCTGGCCGGGTACTCCGAACACCAGATCCTGTTTCTCAAACATACAACAACTCGGAGCCTTGTAAGAGCCTCAATTTGATGCTGTATGACGGCAGCCCGACCTCGGAGCCCATTGGTGGAGGCACTATTGCAGATTCTGTTTGCCTCACTTCTTCCGGCTACCAGATGACGGACTTTGTTGAGCGTATAGATCGATTGACGGTTTCTTCTTTACAACCGGTCCACGATGCGGTCATCACTAACGGTACAACTGGGAATCCACGTTACAGGATGACTGCCCCTCCTATGCCGGCGAACTCAACGCGCAGGATAGTGGACTGCAAGCTCCAAGATGTAGAAGGCGTGGACGCAAAACCAGAATCATCGGCTGACGCGCCATTACTTGCAATCGAGGGATCACGGGAGGTTATCGTGCCGGACTTTACAAAATTCCATCAAGAACCTTATGTAGGCTTGTACAACCATGGAAATACGGTACGTTTGTTCATTTCTTATGGCTGACAGTTTAAAGAGCATATGCGCCACTCGCAGTTCTTTTTCAATCTGTGTTCTTGTAAAATAAATCAATCATAATCTTTTTAATCTCTCGCGAGCAACAACAGCCCTAGGTTCCCAACTGATATGACTATCACACACATCGTCAATCGTGTCACTGTCTTAACGCCCACCAACCAAAATCCTCACAAGCCGGGACACGAATGCTGTCGCACTGATACGGTTATTCCGCTATTTCAGCCTCACTGGTCACACGCTTCCTTCACATGCAGATCAGCTCGAATCGTGTTCGCGCTACAATTCTTTGTCGTCTGCTAAGTCCAGCTGATGTTATCCACTGCGCAGACCACCGATGTCCTTTCCACATGACTGATTTGAAATGGACCTTGAGCATTCGTGACCTTGTGTTCAAGTCCGGTATACACTTGAGTAGTAATGTCTCATTCAATGACATTGTCCTCAACCTTTGGCGAGATCGATTGTGATGGCCGCCTTCTTTCAAGTACATAAAAGGAAGGAAACACATCCGGGTCACTCAAGAAGAGTGGTGCTGTCGCTGAAAAGCACAGCAAGGCATGATTGCTATGTGGATTGTAGATTTTGCTCTGAGTCCCGGAAAAATCATTTTATGGTGTAAGCAAATATTTCGTAGACGTAATAGACTACTCAATGTTGCTGGAAACTCTTCAACAGCCCACGACTGGTTTCGCCCTTCTTGGAACCCATAAAAACCAAGCTGGTATGCATATGAGTGTATAAGCCAAATATTTCTTAGTTATTCCGTTTTGAGTGCTTTTGTTTGCACAAGATGTTCCGTCGCTCACCGTCGCCCCACTGCAGGGTCCATGGTTTGGGCCCAACCCTGACTTATTGATTGTTGCTGTCTAGGCTCTGACAACCTGGCTATCATGCTGCCTTTCGGTTGGAGGAAGGCCAGGTGACGGGAGGATGCTATGACTGAATCAATCTTGAATGCAACAGTTGTCCGTGCATCTCGAGTTCAAGCTAAGTTGACCACCTATTCAATCTTATTCAGCACTAAGCCTGCGTACTTTTACGCCCATATCACCTGGTCTAAAAGGCACCCAGAGCTTCATAAAAACTGTCTTTGGCAACGTCAGAACTACGATCCAGTGCGTAATAAGCAGACACAATAAACCTGAAGAGACGAGCCTGCCATTCCCGAGAGTTTTTTCCCACAGACGACAACAAATGAACCGAATACGCATCCAGTTAAGGTAGAGATACTACGGCTCGATGGTTTGACACCACGAGACCTTCAGATCTGGTTGTTGTGGTCTCTGCGTTACCAGCTGTCAATGAGGATGGAGCGGCGAGGCAGTCACAGTACTTGCTACCTGCCTCCTAGTTTCTGATAGGCAGCACACGGTTGGTGCTCAAAGAATTCAATGTACCAGCAAGATCAGCTTCTGATCTTATTTGCTTCGGGGGGCGAGGAAGTACAGCTAGGTGGACCATGTTTTTTTTGTAACCTGAGGTTGATTTCGAGGTTATTTGCTTCGGGGGGCGAGGAAGTACAGCTAGGTGGACCATGTTTTTTTTGTAACCTGAAGGTTGATTTCGAAGCATCCTACCTAGTCAAATATGCAGAAGTTGTCGTTTAGGCTGATGCTGAGGGAGAGAAATAAGGAGGGGGAAGAAGCTCATGAAAAAAGCCTTTCATCAGCCCTGATATCCTACATTGTCGATATGTCCCCGGCTGGAAACCAATCAACTATGGTTTAGTTCTTTTTTATCAGAATACTCACAAATCGTGCTACGTTTTCTGTGCTGGGGCGTAAACAACAATGGTAGACATTCAGATTGTTCTACTATTCCGGTTCAGGCTATCCGATGATGACGTTGGGCCTACTCTTTTTGCCGAGATCGATCTGAGGTCTGGCAATACACACTGGCTTTTGAGCATGGGTTATCTTTCACTACCTGTCGCAAGTCACTTGATGATTTCGCGTGACAAAACTTGTTGTAACTTGGCAGTTTGTGTTAGGCAACGATCGATTTTCTTGTGCTGCTGTCATTTCTGTGTTTCACTACCCGCCTTGTAGTATTTGGTGATAAAGTGTATGTGCATTGGCGGTCTTCTCAAGCCATAGGCATCGTACTTCTTAGATGTGGTTTCCAAGCGCCAGGGCATGATTTTCGCGTGTTGATTCTTGGGTACACTTGAGAATCTCCCGTAATCGTCGAAGAAATGGAAATCGATCCATTCTTGATTTGCATGTAGGCTCCATTGCACTGCAGTAGTTTTCAAATATGAGGTGAGCAATAAGTAAATCCACGAGGATGTATAGTATCCTTCGCATAGCTCTGTCTATCAACTGGGAAACGCGCCCAAAGTTAGTGTTCACAAGGCTTTGATCAATTCGTCGAGCCCCATGATCTATCAACCGGCTGCAAGTCCAAGGAGGTATGTACCGAATGCCTCGGTTCCTGGCAGCCTGCCTCCACTAGACCAGGTCTTTGCTACACTGGTAGTTCTTTATCAACGAAATGAATACATCTTTGGGCTACTGAAAATGTTCAGGTTTCACCAATATGGCAACTTTGACACCGGATCTCATTTACACGACACTAACCAGAAAGGATGATCTTCGAATTCATGAAGCTATCTCGGTTAATCCACGAGCCTTTCGTGTGTTCGCGTCCGGCAAAGTATCTCGGTGCCACCTTGTTCATTGACGGGTTTTGATCAGAGAGGTCTGTGACTAGAATCCGCACCCACCCCCACGTCGTATTCTCGATTGTAGGGTGTCCTGGAAGCCATATCCGATTCCTTCGATATCACATTGATCACGTGACAACTATAAGTCAACTCGGTCGGTTAAAATTTGGTGTTCCTTTAGATTTTACTGACACTAGTGCCTTGGAGAATACCTCCACCTGATAAGCATCAAGTAGTGGGCTGTCGGAGAGTTTTCCACAACGGTGTATTTTGCCAGGCATTATCCTTGTTTTCCCACATACGTTCATCCCTGATCTCTCTCTCTCTCTCCAACTCACTTTCCGGTTGCAGTGCTATATGTCCGTCATCTTCCAGTGTCTCCGTTTCACTCCGTCGTTTTTTGACACATGTCGGCTTGCGCAAACGGACAGAATGAATCCACCAAAGAAGTTGTTACAATGTGAGTGCTACCCCCCCTAGGTCATCCAAGTCTTGAACTGCCTTATCCGGTTCATGTACCATTTGCACGTGCATTGTGCCTTTCAGTTGTTTGTTTTTTCACGCAAAGTACCACTACCTTATGGAAAGACTTGCATAGGTATCCAAATGATCAAACTTGGAAAAGTATAGGAGGACTGTGCATTGTGCCTTTCAGTTGTTTGTTTTTTCACGCAAAGTACCACTATCTTATGGAAAGACTTGCATAGGTCTCTATAAAATCAAACTGGGAAAAGTATAAGAGGTTTTGGCTCCCTCCCTCCATCAAACCGAGGCGATCAGATGAACAAACGTCGTGGTTGAACCGATTTTCCCCAATTTCGTGAAATCATGAACAATTTCTTCCATGGTTCTATCCATTCAGTCTTAATTTTGTGGATACCCTTGAGGATTTTTTGCACCCTACACAACGCTATGAGATGCCTTGGGAAATGCCTTCCTGGGAAACTTCCCACATTATTTTATTCTGAGCGATCGAACGAAACGCTAGTTGCTCGGTTTACGTAACAGCTGATTGATGGATCGATCTCAAATGATGATCAGTATGTTGTTCTGGAGGCATTGGTGATGTAATCAGCAGCTGTGCAACCCCCGAGTTTCCGTCAACCTCACGTTCTACTTGAACTCAAATTGGACAGATTTCGACAAATACACTCATTCCCATATCAATTTGTTTTTGACGGGAAACTCACCTGGAAACCAGCTGAATCTCTCACACCGCCGTCCAGTTCCATACAGTCAAGTTTCCAACACACGTGTGAAAAATACTCATTTACATACCAATTCGGTTCCGACGGGAAATCCACCTGGAACCCAGGTGAATCTCTCATTTATGATGCTATTTAGCAACTGGATGTGCTGCACCAGGCCGCCTCATGTTTCAGTCGCTACGGTATTCTAGATATCGCGGTACATGCATGGACGTGATACACTGCTCGTAAGGGTTGCTGAAAACTCAAGATGACTCTCTGATCTGGGTGCAAACTAATTGACCAGGAGTTCTGTGGTCCAAACTCAAACCCGGCATCTTGACTGCTACTGTCTAGGCTTGGAAAACATGGCAGTACCTCAACCCTTGTGCTTCCTTTACGTAACATGACAACTGGGCACTGAAAAGTGTTACAGCTGGACGATTCGATTTAGGGGCTTACAGTCTGAATGTTGATACTGAAGCTTGATACACCCAGCGATCACTTTGTAGCCTTACCGACCCAAAAATAGTATCTTTTAACCTCCTTATGACCTTCACATGTTCAATCAAGACCAACCACTATGCTGGCTTGAAGTGGATACTTCCCACTTCATCCTCGAGAAGCGATTTCCTCTTTCAGCAAAGATCAAGAGGCATCGGCTTGGCACGTGACTGCAGTCGATTTTCTATTCAGAAATGTTTCCGGTTACCCAACGTTATTTTCAGCCATGTGAACCTCATCTATTACAATAACCCCAAAGGGAGGACCCCCCCCCCCCAAGAAGGCACATCAGCATTCCCCGGTATGGATAATTAAGTAGATGGAATGAAGTCCATTTCGTTGGTCCATTGGAATATGAAGACTTGATAATACACCTACCAATGTGAAGTGGAACGGCACTGCGCCCGGTACTATAGACTTCATCATGAAATGTGTAGTGACGCCTTGAAAGGTGTCTGCATCAGTTGAAACTACGCCCGTCGCGTCATTTTGCGAGGTTTCATCGTTCTTTGAGCATGTTTTACAGACTAAGTGATAAAAAAATGAAAGTCGTTGGCATGACGTGCAAAACATTCTCAAGCAACCAAACCAAAATGTTGTGAAGAACTTTGGGTTAAAAAAAGTATCGCATCAGTGCGGAGTGGCCTTAACTGGCTAGTGTTTTTGAGCTATGAACCGATCAGGATTCGCCATAACTACTCCAAAAGTCATCTGATAAAGCTTTTGTTGGTAATACTGAAGACTAATGGTCTCACGACGAATGCTCATTGGACACTCTTAGCGGAACTGGTTTTTACGGCATCGAGATTCTTTCTAACGTGACGATGATGTAATTCGGTTCCTGGATGATCATGGTAATATCTCCAGTGATGATGATATACGCCTGTTATTTTCGAATCGCAAAATCATTGCCTCTTTCCACGTCTTCTCCATATCTCTCTCTGTCTCTCTAGGTATCGCATTACTTTTGGATGGCATGGCTCAAAAGGCCAGCAACAAAGACCTGTACAGTTCGGTTGAAACAATCCGTGTGGAACTGGGTCACGTAGCACCGCACTTCAAAGGACCAGAGTACGTTACCTTACTGCATGGGCCTTGTGCAAAAGTCAACAATGACTCCCCTTTGTATAATAAGGCAATCAGTTTTTAACGTGTAAACAAGCTGGTGGTTTTTAGGCATAGCGCACTACTGAAAACTTCAGCCCGTGGCCGGTTTCGCTCTTCTTGCTGGTCATCTGGTAAGCGTAGTCCTCGAATTCTACTGTATTCATTTGAGCCTCCCGTTAAAACCAAATTGGTGTGCTACTTTCAGTATGTGGCACTGTAACCATTGTTTAATCGAGTCAAAATTTCCGGATAGCTGGAGACCTAAGGGGTCCGGAAAAGTGGGTAATGCCCAGCGAACCCTGGACCCAGTTCTTTAAGAAGCTCGCCTTTGTCATCGGGCATCCGCAATACTTTCAGCGGATGACGGATGCTCGCTTCATCTTAGCTGGTGCTTATTGAGGCACTAGAGTACTCAGTTAGTGGATTTCGGTCATTTCAAACGGATCATTTCTGTGAACTCACACGAGATAAGGGGGGGCACGTTCTCACTAAAACAGATAGTCCCCAGCTACCGAGCGAACAAATCGTTTTTCATGAAGACCACTGGAAGAGGAAGAACATTTTTCGAAGTATAATGTGTACGCGACAGGTTACCCTTACTTTATACGTACCGCCCAGCTGGAAGGAACGATGATGGTTGTAATGATGGGCGCGAGATGGCTCACGTGGTTAGAGCGCGAATTTACTGACCGGAAGGTCCGTGGTTCGAACCGGATCTTTGCATTTCGAATTCCCTTTTCTAGGTTTGAGCAACCTGGCAGTATCTCAACGCTCGTGCTTCCTTCGGATGGCATGCCAGCTAGGCACCAAACGATTTACTTTTATTTATTTGTTTGTTTTTAATGACTACCTACCACAATCTGAAGATAACGCCGTCGTCAAATTAACTAAACAGACTGAAAGACTGTACTGATAGAGATAATGCCATTTGGTGCTTCTAGAGATGTGACTCACAAAAATGCCGAGTGGTTTGTCCACATGGAGACGCTGTGGCAACCCATTGACAGATTTTAATGGCTTTTTTTATCGCATCCTCACTGAATCAGTTGAATCACGCTGACACTACTCGTATTTACATCATTTGTTACGCGTTATGGTGGTCCATACCAGGTGAATGGGAATCTGTGAATGCAACTTTCGCTTCTATTGAGCCTTGTCGGTGCCAATTTCTTCGGCCATAACAGGAACTAAACTACGCTTATCTGACATCTGTTTGAACTTGTTGCCGGCTGCGCATATCGACCGCGTCGCGTTTGAGAAATGCGATTGGTATACCCGCTCCCTCTTTTTGTTCTGAATGGAGCTCAAACTTCAGCGCGGCTCTACATTATTTTCCCTTCATGTCCCACAATAACAAGACCAAGTTTGTATTCAAAAAGACCGCTGCATCCATTTTGTATCCACTCAGATAAGAACTTGGAGTAGCACAATGGTTGAGGTGTCAAGCTACTCACCGGAAGATCTCACTGTTGATTGTCTCCATGACTGGGCTCGGGTAACCCGGCTGCGTGGCGGGAATGCGCCAAGTGGGTGCCACAGATGAGTGGTTTTTTGCTTGGATCTAAGCGAATACTGTCGATGGCGAATTCCGATTGTCGTTTTGTTTATCGTAACACCCTGTTCCGGAACACCTTTGACTTCGTTTCAAATCAACCTTTTCTTCTTGCTCCTTAGTCAACAGGACGCCCTCGAATTTCTTCTCAGTGTTTTGGACTCACTGCATTCGGAACTTAAACAGTCCTCCACATCGACAAGTCCTGAGTCTTCACGAACTCAGACTCCGGATACCACACTGATAGATAATAACTCCCCGTTGGACCACGCATTGCGGAACAATGCTAGTGACTCCTTATTGTCCAGTCGTCCTCGATCGCACAACGGGGGCAGTACTGTGCCCATTAATATCACCACAGTTCCTCCAACCTGTCAACCACCGGTTTTGACGAAAAAAACCGGTCGTGGTCTATCTGGTTTATTTCGTGCGCACAAGAAACAGGGCGCGAAGAAACTCAGTGGAGTCATCCTCACGACCAATTCCAGCCCTCCAGTTAGTCGCTCTGAGCTTCCAGTTCCCCCGGTTACTGAAGGTGTCCATCCAAAGATTCTGTAAGTTTTTTGGTTCCCTTTTTTGGTCGAGCCTCTTTTACGTGCTTCTAGTTATTTTCGGGTGTGGAAGAATAGCTGTCATCTAGCTTGATGACGGGTTAGTCATACTAGGACTGTCCTGTAATCTTCGGCTGTTTGAGGCGACAGTGCATCCTATCCTAGAATGTACGAAAGATTTGTTAGGACATTCAGTTGCCTGAGAGCATCATAAACGAGAGATTCAGCTGGGTTCCAGGTGAGTCTCTCGAAAAACCAAATTAGTTTGCAAATGAGTGTATATTCGCTAATTTCGGGCAATTTGGTTTCA